GTAACATGGTGAAGCTCGGTCTTCTAAAAATCCAAAAAATAGCCGGCATGGTGGCGGGCGCTTAGTCCAGTCCACTCGGGAGGCTTGGAGCGGAGATGTCCCGTGAACCCTGCGGAACAGTGCAGTCTGCAGTGAGCCAAGATCACGCCACTGCACTCCAGTCTGGGCAACAGAGCAGAACTCCGTCTCAGAAAAAATAAATAAATAATAAGAAAATAAATGCTATTCCCGCCAACCACCAATGTTGGCCAGGATGGTCTCGATCTCCTGACCTCGTGATCCGCCCACCTCGGCCTCCCAAAGTGCTGGGATTACAGGTGTGAGCCACCACGCCCGGCCTCCTCTCCCTCTTTCTAATAAAGCCTTAATCAGAATGAAAGACCACTACCTTCCTGAATGAAATGTAAAACATAACCAGAATGAAAGATTCAGTTTGTTCATTACTGACCAAGAGAACCCAAATCCCTTCTAATAAACTTAATTCAGAAGTCTCTTCTCTATTGGAAAACAGTATTTCCAAAGTAAAACATTTACTTTCAGTAATTTCCTATATTATTCCTCTTCAGTTTCAAATTTTCTACCAATTTCTCTATATTCTAATTCTATAATCCCATTACTAATCAACTATTGGAGCTTCACAACATGCTTTTTTTTTTTTTTTTTGAGATAAGAGTCTTGCTCTGCTGCCCCGGCTAAAGTGCAGTGGCATGATCTCAGCTCACTGCAACCTCCACCTCCTGGGTTCAAGCAATCTCCTGTCTCAGCCTCCCGAGTACCTGAGATTACAGGTGCGTGATCCCACACCCAGCTAATGTTTGTATTTTTAGTAGAGATGGGGTTTCACTATGTTGGCCAGGCTGGTCTCGAACTCCTGACCTCAGATGATCCGCCCGCCTTGGCCTCCCAAAGTGCTAGGATTACAGGCGTGAGCCACCGTGCCTGGCCCACAGTTTCCATTTCTAAATCAAGCCTATTCCTAACATGGTTTTGGACTTGCAATTTTTATCATTATAATTGCTGTTCAGCAAGCATTTTCATCTGTTTCGGTTGAATTGACCAAGAATCAGACTTAAATTCCAATAACCCAGTAAGAAATAACTCTTCAATCCACAAGTTAGTAGAAGCTAAGCTATGAGAATGCAAAAGCATTAAGAATGACATAATGAGGCCAGGTACGGTGGCTCACGCCTAAAATGCCAGCACTTTGGGAGGCTGAGGTGGGTGGATTACCAGAGGTCAGGCGTTTGAGACCAGCCTGACTAACATGGTGAAACCCCTTCTCTACTAAAAATACAAAAATTTAGCCAGGCATGGTGGCATGTACATGTAATCCCAGCTACTTGGGAGGTTGAGGCAGGAGAATCGCTTGAACCCGGGAGGCAGAGGTTGCAGTGAACCAAGATTGTGCCACTGCATTCCAGACTGGGCAACAAGAGCCAAACTCCATCTCAAAAAAAAAAAAAAAAAATTATATAATGGGCCAGGCGTGGTGGCTCAAGCCTGTAATCCGAGCACTTTGGGTGGCCGAGGTAGACAGATCACTTGAGGTCAGGAGTTCCAGACACCCCCTGGCCAACATAGTGAAACCCCGTCTCTACTAAAGATACAAAAAAATCGGCCGGGCGTGGTGGCTGGCGCCTGTAATCCCAGCTACTGGGAGACCGAGGCTGGAGAATCACTTGAACCTAGGAGGTGGAGTTTGCAGTGAGCCGAGATTGTGCCACTGCACTCCAGCCTGGGCGACAGAGTGAGACTCCGTCTCAAACAACAACAACAAGAATGATATAATGGACTTTGGAGACTCGAGATAAAGGGTGGAAGCGGGGTTAGGGATTGAAAAACTACACATTGGGGACACCATACACTCTTCAGGTGATAGGCGCAACAAAATTTCAGAAATAGCCACTAAAAAACTTATTTATGTAACCAAACACCACCTGTTCCCTAAAAACCTAGTAAAATAAAAACAAACCAACACAAATCAAGTTGGAACTGCTTTAATAGAGTAAATGAGTGCAATAAATGAACTCTCAACCTCCCTGTCCCCCCCCTCCCTTTTTGAGACACGGTCTCTCTCTGTCGCCTAGGCTAGAGTGCAGTGGTGCTATTATTGACTCACTGCACCCTCGACTTTCTGAGTTCAAGTGATCCTCCCACTTCAGCCTCCTCAGTAGCTAGGACCACAGGCGCACAACACCACGCCCAGCTAATTAAAAAAATTTTTTGTAGAGATAGAGTCTTGCTGTTACCCGTGCTGGTCTTGAACTCCTAGCTTTAAGTGATCCTCTCACCTTAGCCCCTCAAAGTGCTTGGATTACAGATGTGAGCGATAGCACCCAGCCAGAACTCCTTATATCCGGAAGTCTTGGGATCTTTGTCAACCATTTCTCATATGGGCAGAGTCTGCGCTGTTTCTTTGCCTCTGGGGTGCTTGCTTTGATATATCTTTCCTTTCACATCACTAACATAGCATGTGTCTAGATCATAATATTTTTTTTCCAAGAGAGGAAGAAAGAACATAAAGTTTTTTAAGAGTAGAGACTGTTATATCTTTGTGTCTCAATACCTAAATGATGTATGGCAGAAAAGTCTGTAACACTAATTCCTCTTATGGATGTGAAAACTGAGGCCCAGAGGGTGTGGGCATACTCAAAGTTATATGCAGAATTCGAGGCAAAAATTCAATCCCAAATCTGATATTTCTCCCTTAATTCTGTGCGCTCTATCCATTACACTTTGAAGATTCTCAGCACTTGAAAAGCAGGAACTTTATATCTCTCACACGCCTCATACATTGCTACAGGAAATAAAGCAACAAATGACTAGATACTTACTGGAGGCATCTTCGATCAGGCTCTCTTTATCCTCAGATTTTGACAGTCTTCTTTTGGAAACCATTTTGACCAATGTCTTGTGCATTTAAATTACTTCCTAGAGCAAAATCGGGGAACAGAAGTTACCCTCTAGAAGATAAATTCTGAGAAGTTAAAGCTATTGTTCAAAGAAAACTGTTCTATCCAAAATCAGTGGGGCTCACCCAGGCTGGAGTGCGGTGGTGCAATCTCGGCTCACTGAAAGCTCCACCTCCCGGGTTCACGCCATTCTCCTGCCTCAGCTTCCCAACTAGCTGGGACTACAGGTGCCCGCCACCACACCCGGCTAATTTTTTGTATTTTTATTAGAGATGGGGTTTCACCGTGTTACCCAGGATAGTCTTGATCTCATGACCTCGTAATCTGCCCACCTCAGCCTCCCAAAGTGCTGGGATTACAGGCGTGAGCCAAACCGACCGACGAAGTGATTTTTAGGCAGGGACTTGAGGACTGAAACAGGAGTTAGCCAGTAGAAGGCGTAGGAGAAGAGGAGTCTCATACAGAATACTCGTACTGAAACAAGGAGATGTGGAGTTAGAAATGAGCCAGCAGAGGCAGGGGAGTGCCTGAATCACATGACCTTTTAATCTTGTAAATCAGAACCTTCGTGGTCTCAGTGCCTTTGCACAAAGGTGTTCTTTTCATCTGAAGTGCTCTTATTTGCCTGGAAATTTCTACTCAGACCTAAACATTCAATCAAATGTCATCTTCCTTGAAAAGTGTTCCTCCTATCCCTAAGGGAGTTTGCTACTGCAGCTTCCCTGCTCCACAGGGTATATCTAAGGGGACCTTACCTCACACTAGACTGGAGCTCTTTGAGAGCAAGAACCCAGTCTCATCTACTCAATGCCCCTAATGCCCAGCATAGTTACCGGCATAAAGAAAATTTCTGAGAATATTCAGAGTGAGAAAAGCTGGCAGGGCAGGGGAAATGCTACAAGTTAATAAGAACTGTTTCAAGTACTTTACATTTAATAATTCATTAATTTCCCACGAAACTTTTTGAGGTGGGTACCATTATTCTTCTCATCATCCCGGGCGGAACTGGGATTCTAACTTGGGCAGTCTGGCTGCAGCACCTGTGCTCTTCACCATCTATACTTACTCTTGATGACAATAATGACTTATAATAATGGTTAACATTTACGAGGTACCGGGCGCTGTGCTAAGCTTTTTATTTGTCGCCGCTTCGGTTAATACAGATAACCATTATCAGCCATCTTGCAGATGGAAAAACTAAGGCAAGTCAGGACGTCCGGCTTCCAGGCACCCGCCTTTAACACGTGCAATACCATCTGGCTTCCAGAAAAGTCCGACAGACGTGAGATGAGGCCGACTGTCTGGACTAGTTCATTGGGAAGGGGGTGAGGGTAAAAGCCTTTCTCGTTTCTTCATTTTAACGACGCAGAAAGGTACCTGTGGGGATTATCCCATCTCAGCGCAGATGAGGAAGCCGAGGTTCGGGGCGCGAGCCCCAGAGGAGAACTCCAACCGTGGCTCGGACTTAGAGATTAGGCCGCAGGGGAGCGGGGCCTCAAGAGACTACGACCACTGCTCCACTAACTCACCGAGAAGCCGTCACCGCCCGTCGTTTTCGACTTTCCCGCCATGCCCGACGCCTCTCTGACGCCAGCGAGGCGCGCCATGACGTGACGTCAACTTCCGCGCCGGAAGTGGAATGCCAGGCCGCCCCCTGAAGGCAGTAGGCAGGGCTCACAGCTGCAGCCCAGTTTTGGGCTAACCGGGAACAGGGGCTTGAGAAGGCCTGGAGGCGAAGTCAAAGAGAAGCACCTGCGCCCCGGTGAAGACACACTCGCCCATCACCGGCTGGGAGGCAGCTTTCAGTAAGATGGCAGGGCCAGAACTGTTGTTCGACTCCAACACCTGCCTTTGGATGGTCCTACCCATCGTTATCACTTTCTTCGTAGGCATGATCCGCCACTACGTGTCCATCCTACTGCAGAGTGACAAGAAGCTCACCCAGAAACAAGTATATGACAGGTCAGCGCCCTCCCTTCTCCTGCCTACCGCACACCGCCGTGACCTTGGGCAAGAAAGTGCAGGAGTTCTGTCAATTTGTCTAGGTTCATGTCTCGCCCCCCACTGGCAGGGTGACCTTACCCGTTACCTCTGTGTTTCACTTTTGTCTTCTGTGAAATGGGGATGATAATAGTACCTGCCTCATAGACAGGTGGGAATCAAATTAGATGATGTCTGTAAAGCCCTTAGCACAGGATCTAGGACGTATTGAGTGTTACAAAAACAAAAACAAAAACAAAAACGGTGCTGTTAATCCTTTAGGTTAGTCGCCAACCCTTGGTGGGTTTACCTATGAACTATCCCATCCTACCCTTTCGTCGGGAAGAGTGCCAGGTGCGTTAGAGCTTTTAGCAGTTGTAACATACAGTCAGGTGAGTGTGATAATCTGCATTCTACCAAATTGCTGTTCCAATAGTCGGCTGAGATGCTAAGTACCAAAGCGCTTTGCAATCTGTAACACTGCCGTTAGAGATGTAAGGAATTGTAATTATCATTTCCCTTCCTAGAGTGGAGGCAAATTCCTCACATACTTCATTGCAGTATTAATTAATTTATTTATTTATTTTATTTTTGAGACGGAGTTTCGCTCTTGTTGCCCAGGCTAGAGTGCAGTGGCGCGATGTCAGCTCACTGCAACCTCCGCCTCCCAGGTTCAAGCGATTCTCCTGCCTCAGCCTGCCAAGTAGCTGGGATTACAGGCGTGAACCCTGCGCCCATCCCCTCATCGCAATATTTATATACAGAGACAGGAATTTGAGATGATTATCGGTGGTTATCTAGACATGTACCCCTTCATATTAAAATAATAGTTTTCTCCCAGCTGCTTGAGATGCCGAGGCAGGAGGGTTGTTGGAGACCAGCCTGGGCAACATAACGAGACCTTATCTCTTAGAAAAACAAGCAATTTTTCCATCAATTCTGATGGCTTTCAGAAACCATCTCAGGTAAGTGCTACTATATCTTTAGCACCTTCTTCTCACTTATTAATTTCTCGTTTTAATAGAGTAAGCCTCAGGCTAAGAACTTTCCCACAGGTAACAGTATCTAGTTAAAATTTAATGTTGTTTTGTTTCTACTGTACTTACTTTAAGTTTCTTTTTTGTGACAGTACTGGATTTCCATTTGCTGGTAATTTAAAGATTCCTTGAAAATCATATAGATGGGAAAAAGTTGATATATAAAAAGTATTAAATATGTAATGATGCAAGTGCTAGACAAAAATTCTAACATGGCATGAGAGTGACTGAAGTTTAGGAAGCACTGCTGTAACATTTTCAGTTCTTCCCAATTATGCCAAGAATAATAATAATCATTTACTCTATATCAATGATACTCTATATCATTACTCTATATCAGTAATGATACTCACATATCATTACTATGCGAAGCGCTTATATTCATTAACTTATTTAAGACTCAAAGCAACTCTATGAGGTGCATATTGTCTCATTTTATAGATATTGAGGCTTTAACAAGTTCCATGGTCACACATGGTTACATTCAGGACTTCACACCAAGCCTTCTGGTCTTGGGCTTTTTCCACTATACCACAGCGATCACTTTATCTTTCTGTAGCATTAGTTTTAGAACTGACCAGAGCCAACACCCACCCTGGAGCGAACCTTAAGAAGTCAACTTACTGGCTGGGCCTGGTAGCTCACACTTGTAATCCCAGCACTTTGGGAGGCTGAGTCAGGTGGATCATGAGGTCAAGAGATTGAGACCATCCTGGCCAACATGGTGAAATCCCATCTGTCCAAAAAAAAATGCAAAAATTAGCTGGACATGGTGGTGCACCCCTGTAGTCCTAGCTACTCGGGAGGCTGAGGCAGGAGAATTGCTTGAACCCGGGAGGTGGAGGTTGCAGTGAGCTGAAATCGCACCACTGCACTCAGCCGGGCAGCAGAGCGAGACTCCGTCTCAAAAAAAAAAAAAAAAAAAAAAAAAAAGTAATTTACCACAGAAAGAAGGGCTGTAGAAAAATGCAAAGTGGGGAAAGCTCAGACATTTAGCATTTTTTGGCACCTATAAATTTTTCTTATTTTATCCTTACATTAGCACAGAGGTAGATACTCCTAAACCCATTTTTACAATTGAAGAAGAGGAAGCCTGGAAAAGTTAAGTAGCCTTCCCAAAGTAACCAAAGTAGGGAAATATTATGCCTATACTTGAACTCAGATCAGTCTGACTCCCAGGTTAAACCCTCTTCAACCGTGATTCCTGCTGTCATAGATTCTCTGCCACGATTTTCTGCCCATGGTTCACTATTAGAGCAATGATTCTGAATTATATCAGATCCAGTGCTCTCTTTTGTAACCCCAAAATGAAATTCACAGTTAGTGTAGTCTATATACAAGAACTTTTTTTTTTTTGGAGACTGGAGTGTCACTCTGTTGCCCAGCCTGGAGTCCAGTGGTGTGATCTTGGCTAACTGCGATCTCCACCTCCCTACCTCAAGCAATTCTTCTGCCTCAGCTTCTTCAGTAGCTGGGATTACAGGCATGTGCCACCACGCCTGGCTAATTTTTGTATTTTAGTAGAGATGGGGTGTGAGCCATCGCGCCCGGCCAAGAATATTTTCTTAAGAAGGAATGTAACAGCTGGGCACAGTGGTACACACCTGTAATCCCAGCACTTTGGGAGGCCGAGGCAGTCAGATCTCTTGAAGTCAGGAGTTTGAGACCAGCCTGGCCAACATGGTGAAACCTCATCTCTACTAAAAATACAAAACTTAGCCAGGCATAGTGGCACACACCTGTAGTCTCAGCTACTCAGGAGGCTGAGGCAGGACAATTGCTTAAACCCAGGAAGCAGAGGTTACAGTGAGCGGAGATCGCTCCACTGCGGTCCAGCCTGGGCAACAGAGCAAGACTCCTCAAAACAAAACAATTTGGTGAGATATTCAAAAGTCATGTGGGACATGGGAAAATTCTTTGTATTATGTGACTATCCCCAGGACTAAGGGATACTCATCTCTTGCATCATACAAATGACAGTTACGTGATTTTTCCCCACAGTTCCATCATTTTAACAATCAAAAATTTCCACAGATTACCATAAGGCCCCCTAGAGGGCAGTACCACCCCCATGAAGAACCAACCACTGCTCTAGAGAAAACTCAATGTCTCTGCTCATAATTGCTCTGTCCCATAAGTGAGGTAGTTGGATTATGCCAGCTCTGACATGGGGCGGTTGAGCCTCATCAAGTTATCATTTGACTTAGGTGAAATGCTGTACACACTGAACCAGCCTAAGTCCAATAAAAAGGTGTATTTCAGTTGTAAAACTTTTCTTTTTCTTTTTTGTTTTTAAGAGACAAGTCTTGCTATGTCACCCAGGCTGGAGAGCACTGGCACAGTCAAGGCTTACTACAGCCTCAACATCTCAGGCTCAAGGATCCTCCCACCTCAGCCTCTCAAGTAGCTGGGACTATAAGCATGTGCTACCACGTTCAGCTAATCTTTAAATTTTTTGCAAAGATGGGGTGTCCTCTGTTTCCCAGGCTGGTCTCAAACTCCTGGTCTCAAGTGATCCTTCCATCTCAGCCTTCCAAAATGCTGGGATTATAGGCATGAGCCACTGTGCCCAGTGGGGTAAAACATTTTTCTAAATATACTATAAATGTCCATTAGCAGCCTGGCGTGGTGGCTCACACCTGTAATCCCAGCACTTTGAGAGGCCAAGGTGGGCATATCACGAAGTCAGGAGATCAAGACCATCCTAGCTAACACAGTGAAGCCCCATCTCTACTAAAAATGCTGAAAATTAGCTGGGCGTGGTGGCACACACCTGTAACCCCAGCTACTTGGGAGGCTGAGGCAGAAGAATCGCTTGAATCCAGGAGGTGGAGGTTGCTGTGAGCCAGTATCATGCCATTGCACTCCAGCCTGGGCAACAGAGCAAGACTCTCTTTCAAAAAAAAAAAAATTCTATTAGTGCCAGGCGTGGGGTCTCATGCCTGTAATCCCAGCACTTTGGGAGGCCAAGGCGGGTGGATCACCTGAGGTCAAGGGTTTGAGCCCAGCCTGGCCAACATGTCGAAACCCCGTCTCTACTAAAAATACAAAAATTAGCTTGGCGTAGTGGCATGCACCTGTAGTCCCAGCAACTTGGGAGGCTGAGGCAGGAGAACCACTTAAACCTGGCAGGCAGTGGTTGCAGTGAGCAGAGATCACGCCATTGCACTTCAGCCTGGGCAACAGAGTGAGACTGTCTTTAAAAAAAAAAAAGTCCAATAGCCTGAGTGATCACAAAGTGAATGTTTGGTTTCTTAAATGATTAGGCTTTTGCTGCTTCAAAACTTAACTAAAAATTTTCTGACGGTGCAGTGGTTCAGGCATGTAATCCCAGCTCTTTAGGAGGCCAAGACAGGCAGATCACCTGAGGTCAGGAGTTCAAGACCAGCCTGGCCAACATGACAAAACCCCATCTCTACTAAAAATACAAAAATCAGCCAGGTGTGGTGGTGCGTGCCTTTAGTCCCAGCTACTCTGGAGGCTGAGGCCGGAGAATCGCTTGAACCTGGGAGGCAGAGGTTGCAGTGAGCGGAGAGCATGCCATTGCATATGACATAATCATAGCCCATTGCAGCCTTGAACTCTTGGGCACAACCCTCCTGTCTCAGCCTGCCAAGGAGCTGGGACTACAGGTGCATCAATGCCATTACACCTGCCTAGTTTTTATGTTTTTATAGAGACAGTGTCTGGCTATGTTGCTCAGGCTGGTCTCAAACTCCTGGCCTCAAGGTATCCTCCTACTTTGGCCTCCCAAAATGCTGGGATTACAGGCATGTGCTATCATGCCTGGACATGATTTTTTTTTTTTTTTTTTGGCTAAATAATATTCTACTGTATAGATATACCAGATTTTTAAATCTATCAATGGATGAACACTTGGATTGTTTCTTTTTGACTATTATGACTATTTTGACTATTATGAATAATGCTGCTATGAGTTTTTAT